TAGTTTCTTAACTTAACTTATAAATAGACGACGAACTATTTTCACAACGGACAAATTAAGATTGATAAAAGCGCGGAAAAGCTAAATTTTTTTTGCGACACGCGCAAAAGTTCGACGATAAAATCGCGAGCGCATGCGCGCGAGATAGAGATAGAGATAGAGAGAGACAGTTTCGAAAGATAGCGCGCGAGTGAATGGCCTCGGGAGAGCAATTACAAGTTTTTATATGCAAGCAACATAGTTCGGATAAATGTTTGTGTCACATCAAGTATTACGCGCGTTCGATAGCAACGTGCCGCGAAATTGAAAATTTGCGTAACACACAACTAGTTCGGCAAACAACTTGTGTGTTGTGTTTAGTTTTGTTACACGCGCGCGAGATTGTAACGGCACTCGAATAAGTGACTGCGCAAACAAGATACGATAATTTCTCCAAGTTCTCAATCAGTGAACTTGAACAAACCGATCAACTTTTAATTACTTTCGCACGAGAGAGTTTCGAACAAATGTTTATTCTTTTCCCAAGGGCAAAACAATCTAAACTTATTTTTTCTCTTTTGTATTTTTTTTTTTTTTTCGTTACGTTGCCGCATCGCTAATTACCGCGCGCGCGCGCGCGCGCGCGCGTGTGTCTAGCGAAACTATCTTATGTTTTTAGCTAAGTAAACGAAGGAATTATTGCCGTGCAATTTTCCTTGACTCTGCAATACACCTTGGCATTTGTAACTTTTACGATTTTCCGGACTTACAGCGATCTCGCTGAGACATGACGTTGCAAAACAAAAAAAAAACACACATCTCTTGTTGTCCTCTTACAATCGCGACTAAAAGCCAATGATGACTTTTTTGATCGCTGTGGCGACACACGCGCGCGCGCGCGCGCACACATCGCGACAAGAAAAGCTTGTACATTCTTATCTCGATTGCGCAACGTTAACATCGATCACACATCGTTCTTACTTCGTTTTTTCACGACGTTCGTTTCCGACATTTATTTCTCGTCGCTCGCTCATTTTTACGACCGACTTCACGTTTGCGCACAAATCACTGTACAATATGGCTCGGGTTTTAAGCGAGTTTCAAACGGCTTCAAACGGTGATAAGACGTTTGCGACGTCGTTATCCTTCGTCCTTGAGCTTCAAACGTTTACGCAAACGTATTTCACTTTGAATAAATATTGAGAAATAAAATCAAACTATTTTAAATAAAAATATTGTGAATACGCAAATAATTTTTACTCTTGAGATTTAATTATTAATCTTGCAAGACCTTGAACTCGTATATCTTTAAATATTCTTTAAAAACAATAAAAAAAAACTAATGTTAATTTCTTGATTTGGAACGTTGAGAATAAAGCTCCGTGAATTTTTACCGATTTTTGGCAACGTCTTAATTAATGAACAAATAACATCGGACAAAATAGATGTCAAGGTTCCCGGGAGTTGTAAACAACATTCCGATCGCTTGGATAATAAAGTTGATCGAATTGTTTGCGTGTTTTTACGCGATGGACATACAATTAGGAGAAATACGGTTGGCAAGATTGGATAGTAATTATTATTGTTACAAACGCTAATAATTATCACGTATTACCTTCATCTGCTTTGATTTACATATGAGGCTAATAATTAATATTCATTTATTGAACATATACACGCTGCTCTCGCTTGACCCGGCGCAAAGGGAGAATCGCAACGGGGCAACGGTTTTCGTCGTGTGAACGGAAGCGACGACGACGACGACAAAATCGATTAATCGGCCCCATATCGCGGGTCGAGGTTGTCACGAATTTCTTTTATAAATTCGGTTCGCGCGATCACTCGCCACGACGCGATACACACACACACACACACACACACACACACACACACANCACACACACACACACACACACACACACACACACACACACACACACACACACACACACACACACACACACACACACACACACACACTCTCGCCGCCTTGTCAACAGAGTATTTTCATGTGTTCGCATGACGTAACCAGCCGTAGCTTTGACACAATGGCGCAACACACAATTCGCTCTCTCGTTCGTTTCATCAAGCGCGCGCGAACTCTGAAATTACGTTCCCTAGGAAACGTATCGCGCGACAACCTATTGAGCGACGAAATGTGCGGCAAGTAATGGAATTTCCGCGCGCACGATAATCGACGTTTATCCTACGAATCTCCCTCCCCCTTCCCATCCCCCATATGCCCTTCGATTTATACGCAATAAATTTTCGGTTGCCGAAGAAATTTCAACTCACGCCCGCGAATATTAATATTCCTCGATCGTCGCACACACGGAAACACTGCTTTGAAATAATAAAAAGCAAAAATAAAAAAAAAAATAAAAAATAAAAAAAATTAAAAACTAAAAAATAAAGAAAACAGCCCGCGGGATATAATTTCGGACGCGGAATGTTAAATAATTTTTTTCAAATCGCGAGAGAGACTAACTTTACAGGAAGGTACACACCCCGCGGTATTTTTCAATCCGAGGGATACCATGGTAAACACGTAACGTCGAGTTCTTTTTTTGTGTTTTTTTTGTTTTGTTTTTAACGCAAATAATAGATAACACACGCGTCTCGATCTCGCTGGCGGATGTTTTCCGTTTACGCCGACCTCCGTTAAACGCATTACCTAATTTGTTTTCCCGATAACGTGGCCGCGGCAAAGAGAGAGAAGGCGCGGCGGCGGCAGCAGGGGTCGCGACGAAATGTGGCTATGTGTGTTTCGCTCCCGTTCGCGCGCAGACAACACACAACTGCCGCTCCACAAAGCGGAAGGTCGGGGATTCGCGAACGAGAACGGGAGTCGGGGGAAATAATTGGAAGATTACAGTGATTCGGCGTAAATACGACTAATACGAAGGACAAACAGACGAACGTCACCGCCGATAATTTCGTGTCTTCTGCCGCACACGCGGAACATCATTAATCTGTCGTTCCAAGGTAGCCATTATGGCACACACCGAGAAACATTTTTCAGAGGTAACGAGAGAGTTCGGAAGCGTTCGATTGATTTTCCGATTTCTGAAATTTCAATAATAGATTTCTATAATCTCTTTGCGCGTTTGTTCCCGCGTGTTATTCAGAGGAAGAGCCAATATTGCAATCGTACATTATTAATTTTATGGCCGCTCGTTAGTTAGTTCAATGACTTTTGTTGGCGCATAAATTTGTAAATGTGTGTGTGTGTGTGCAAAATTCGCGAAGTCGATATTTTCTACACAATTTCGCACAAAAATGTTGCGCTAACGGTCTTTGAATTACATGCGATCGAAAATTCAAAGCCACTTTGCAAAATGACTCTCGGAATCTTAAAGAGAGAAACGAACAACAAGACCTTGTAATACTGCGAGAAGGAACTTGAAGACCTTTCAGCTTTACTTCGAAAGAATCTTTGCTTCGAGACTTCGCGAAGTACCGCAATTCGCCCGCAGGCAAGTCAGTTGATCATCGCTGGCGATACGCAATTTTGCGGACTCGAAAATTGTTGCGTGCGCGCAAATGCGTATATAGAAAATAATTCCGCTCGCGCGCAAAACTGATAGACATCTAGCCGATATCAAAATTTATTGACTACTGATTATTGAATAGTCCATTAACAGAGTTTCAACATCAAAGAGAGATTATTAGACTCGACGCAATTTTGTTTCATTAAAAAAAATTTAAAAAATAAAAAAATAAAAGTTGATTTTTGCAACGAACGTCGAACGATACTTCGCGAGAATACTGAAAAAATATTAATACTAAAAAATCTTATAATTAAAATTGCAAAAATTCAATGTTTTAAAATGAAAATCCTATATATACACACACACGCACACAAATATTTTGCACACACAAGGAAGAGATTTTTTTTTAATCCGTCGCGCGAAAGTTGCACGAGTTTATGGGACGCAAATCGCGATATATATATCTATATATATATATATTTTTTTACATTTTTTATTTCGAACAAGAACTGGCAAAGTAAATTGTTTGCTTTTAAAACATTGCGCAAAAATAAACCCGGTACGATGTGTTTGCACACAACACGCGATCCCGCGACGATCCGGTAATCGAACGTCGGCCTCAACTACTATTCAACGAACATTCATTAGAGACACGTCATGCATGAAGTGTACGTGCGGTGAAAGAAGTTGAAGCCGGATGAAGTTTCGCATCGTGAAGTATCGCGGCAATGTTTGATTCATCGTGTGGTATCGACTCTTCACGCGAGAGAACATAAACCTCTTCTCCCAACAATAATTTCAGGATAAAAACGTTAATTAGACAACCATAAAAAATGATATAAAGTTTGTGGAAGCGCGCCGAGCGCTCGATGAGCGTGCAAAAATATTTTATAAAAATGTAAATTAATACATGTATATTTATAAAACACATGTATATTATTACATGTAATATATTGTAATTATATGTATATTACATTTTTGAAATATTTTTTGCGCGTTTATTCAAGAGAAGACTCGGCTACCTCGAAAAAGAAATCGTATCGTTTTTCTTAGTTGACAACTCCATCAGAGTATTTCGATTATTTTTGTTAATTATTATTACACACATTACACATAAATTTCGCGATAAATTCTAGACAAATTCTCAATTTTCTCATTACACGCGCACAATCTTCGAGTTGAAATAATTGAGCAGTTTTTGAGCGAAATAATTTCTATAAATAATTTTTGCGAGATATAGAAATATTAATGTTCAAATACCGCGGAAGTCAAAAAATTAAGTTAAACCATCATTTCTCGTGTGTCATCCTTTATTCTAAAAGACAATGAATTTTGGACGAACATATCTCTAACACGGTTATCTTCCTCCAAACATTTCCTCTAACAAGCAAGAGACAGATATAGTTACGACGAGACGTGCCGTGTCTTCAAAAGGATGACACACAGCCGATTGGTCTCGGAAATGGATTTCGCCTCAGGAAACAGAGAGAAGTGCGCACGAAATTTCGTATATATATAATAATTACTTACACGAGCGGTGGATGCTGCTGGGACGTCCTTCCGGTTGAAAATGGAACGCGCCGGCCGATGTCGGTGGCGCGTCGATAATACAATCGCTAGAGCACTGCCGCGAACGCCGTGTTCCACATTACTTGCCATGCCGAAATCACTGCGCAAACAAAGAGCAGAACGTGAGTCGCGCGTAATTGCGTCTCACGATTGCGCGCACATCACGTTCTAATATGGGCGCGCGGCGCGCAACCGTATAACCCAAGATTTCATTTAACAATTAAAGGCCCTGTATATACACGCCGGAACGTGAGACGCGATATTTATTACCCTCGAAACGGCTTTTGATGTCTCCGTCGTTTTCCCAAACGAACGGCGGATTGTTTATCGTTCGCGAGGAGGTTATACGACTTAATAAAAGGACGTGCTAAACACGAAGCGGCAGGGTGTGTGTGTTTTTTTTTTCGTCTCTCGCGCGCAACACCGCGTTGTTATCTTCGATCCTTTCGCTGAAGGCGTTTATCAATGAGCAACGACACGTCGATGTGTGTGTGTGTGTGTGTGCGAGCGCGCGCGCGCGCGCATGTGTGTGTGTTTTTATACGTGAGAGAAAACGACGCGCGCGACGGCGGAACTACCAAACAAGTTTATTTCGCAATCGGTATCTTGATAGATTTGCCCTCTCGCCGCGCCGCTCGGTAGAATCTAATTTTTTAACGAATAGCTTTCCCCCACCCTTCCTTTCTCCGAATTATCTCGCGCATTTAATCAGCACGACCGACGTGTGGGTAACTACAATACGTATACACAAACGTACGCGAACACGCGCGCGTAACGTATATACATACACACGAAAGCGCAAATAGACGTGACAATCTTCTCGTAACGGATTAAAATATAGCAAAATAAATCGCTCAAAGTCGCTCGCGATTTATCTTGCGATCTGGCTGCGCGAGATATTATACGCGCAACAATCGAGTGGAATCGATTTTTCTGTATACAAGCCGCCGCTCTCGAGTCTCCTGCGTATTAGATGCGAAAGTGGGTCACAAGCCTAATTGCGTATATTTTTAACTATCAGAGAGATCTTGTAGCGTCTTTTCGACGACGTCGCGTTCAGAAAAGATCAGCGCGAAGCAGAGTTTTACGAAGTTAAATCAATCGGAAAATTTATGAATTTGCGTTCTCAAGTTTGCGAACAATTAAAACGCCGCCGCCGCCGCCGCCGTCGCCGTTAATCAAGACCTTTCCAGACTCTCGTTATAAAGACAGACTCTCGTAAATTTTCAATAAAAAGGTATATTTCTTTATTTTGTTTTCCGATAAAAAAGACACTTCGCCGTTATTACTAATTCGCGGATGGATTATTCAGTCGGGTCGATCGATGAGAAACAAAAGTACACGAAAATACACGAGAAGAATTGTTCGAATTCTCGAAAAACTTGAACGACAGATAATTTCGCTGTCTTTCTGATTGTTATTTTTCTGCGATTGCAGCATAGCGCGATCGTTGAATCCGATTAAAATGTTATCAACCGTATCTATGCGTATTGTGTTGAGAGCTACTTAACATGTATATGCCTGTTATTGCTGTATGAATGATGCAAGTAAAATTTTCACGCGCAGGAAGCTTATCCCGTAATTATGAGGTGAATAAATGCCTGCGTTAAATGAAAGCGAATTTTGTATATGTATACGCCGGTAAATGTGATTTTCATGCTCACAGAAATTCAAGCTCGTAATTACAAAGACCCGAATCGCATCTAAAGCTCATTATTTTGTTGGATGTATATAATCTCGCGTCTTATTCTGTTAATTGAAATAACCATTGCTAATGTACAAATAGACGGGGAGAGAAAGCTTTGTGTGTTCAAATTGATAAATTATCCAATAATTTTCTCGAAACAAAAATCGCGCGTACGCACACGCTGTTGCAAAACAGCAAAAAAAAAAAAATAAAAAATAAAAAATAAAACAAAGAAGAAAAATACAATTGCAACGCGACGTTATTGCATTTAATTATATACGGCGTAATTTAATGTAACTCCGACATGACGTTTTAATTGTAAAATCAAATTTTTTGAAAAAGACGAACATTACAAAACCATATGTCAATATATCGCATCAATCTCCAATATATTCACACATATCAATATCCAATATCAATCACGCGGGGAATTTTAACCACGCGATTAAATTGAAATATATATGTACGTGTATTCATATGTATATACATATATATATATATATACAGATATTATATATATGGTAAATATATAAAATAAAAGCACTAAAATATTACTAAAATATTCGTACAATAAAGCAAATATATTTAACGAGCAAAGGGAAACGTCTACATAAAACGTTCAAATATCCGTGTCAAAACATTATTTTTGTGTGTGTGTGTGTATTTATTGACAAAATGTCTTTCGAAATCCTGATAAGTAGATTTCCTGATACGAGCAGATAAGTACGTATTCTTGCGATACGACATAGATATCCTCGATATTATTCCCTCTCAACCTACTATTCAAATAAAAAATATTTGTGCGTGGAAATGACATACGGCGAAGAAATCTCACGCGTGTGTGCGTGTACACGTAACGCGCGCATGATCGATCCACCCCATCGCATTAATGAGAGTTTAAACCCGAGGAGATCAATTTTCTTGGATAAAACGGACGTTAAATAATTCAAACGTCGACGATACATCACTCTCGTCTCGTGTTTCAGGTCATCGGAAATTTAATTTGTATTTTTCCATGGAAAATAATTAACGCGGTGGAAAAAAAAAACTAATTCGACGAGCGATCTAATGATGTTTAATTAGTGAAATCGAGTTTAGTTGCAACAGAGTCGATGAAGTCACGTTTATTAAATTGTATATAATTAATGAAATTATATAATTAATAAAATTAGGTTAGGTAACTTAACGAGCTTCAATAAGATTTAATTGTTAATAAAATTAGATACACAACTTTTTCGCGAATTGTATCTCGCCGCGCGGACAAAGACCGGAGCGGTGATAAATCCTGTCATAAAATTTACGTTTACTTTGTAACGGAACACACACACACAAATACGCACACGCGCACTTGATTTTTTTGACGCAGACTAAATTACGGAATGACGGGGGAGACGAAGGAACAAGTGTGTGCCTGACCAACTATAAGTGAGCGCGTTCGTTTACTTCGTCCCACCTCCGAACAGGTTGTCGCGCACATACTTTCGTAATGGAATCTCAGTTATTTCAAGGCATACACACGCATACGCACGTATCGGTGCGCGAGACTCGTTCCCGTTGCTCGACATCGGCGTGTGCACACACGACGGCGGCGTCGTCGTCGTCGTCGTCGTCGTCGTTGTCGTCGTCGTCGTTGCCGCCGTCGCGCCGTGAGTTTACGCGCGCGCCATATAACCGGCGCGCGAGTAATCGACAAAGCACGTATGTTCGACATCGTAATGAGTTCGCATACCTTTTCCAAACGGATACTCGAATATTCGCGGAATTAACGCAAACGCGTCACCATATACGACCGTTTGCGGTAACCCGCGCGAACACAAAACTATTGCACATTCCGATGTGATTCCCCCGGCGTTTCACACGGCACGGAGGGAAAGAGACAGACAGAACAATTTTCTCGCGCGAGTATTATGTGTCAAAAGAAACGTAGAAAAAAAAGAAAAAAGAGAGAAGAAGCTACACTTGTAACACCGCGCGCGCGCGCAAAATGTTATTGTTTACACGCGAGATAAATATTGTTTTACACACACCCGACAAATTGAAAGTTGTAAATCTCATTGCGACATAAAGCCCCAAAAGAATTTAAAAGCGGTAAATAGATTTTAGAATTTATAGGTAAAAAATACTATTAAAGGTTTTCATGGAAACCTATACCGGGGAGGGGAGAGAGGAGAGGGAGAACGGAATATCGAAAATCGATAAACAGGCTTCATGCGGTGTTAGGAGAGCAATACTCCGGACGTGTGTGTCAAAATTGTGTCTCGTGCAACGTCTCGTGCGAGTGCGCGATTTTAACTCTCGCTCTCTTTTGCAAATGAAAATTCTCGTTTCTCTGAAGAAATGCAAACAAGAGAGAGAGAGAGAGAGAGAGAAAAAGAGACTGAATAATACCGCCGGGAGACACGAATGCACCACACGTGCGCAAATATCCAGTACGAACCCACTTTGCGGAGAACGAGGGGCGACACTTCCGACGTCGCAATGTCTCGCATTCGAGCGGATTCAAACTTTGGAAATTCGCGTCGCGGAAAGTACGTTATGCGGTATATATACAATATACCACCCGCCGTCACCGCGAATATTTGCATTTGCTGTGCCATTTCTCCGCGCGCCATGGTTGTTGCGATATAGCGGAAACTATACCGCGCGACATGTGTCGTCGTCGACAACACGAGATCTTTGAAAATTCGTCCCGCGTCCAACAGAGTTACCGGGAAAATACTTTCCGTAGTCCTATCTTTCCGCGACAGAACCCATTTCCGCATCGGTACGCTCGAGCGCGGCCATCTTCAAAAATGTATATCTTCTCCTTCGGGAAGATATTTGTTACCAACGACCCAACAAGGCGTGGCGGCGGCGTTTATGATGAAAATTGCGAGAAATTTGTGCGAACTACGTGAGAAATTCATTCGTTTCGTAGAAAACGTACACATAATTTAACTTGTTAACGCCAAAACAATCAAAATTCGTCAAAACGACAAATTTTTATAAATCACACAAATGTTCCGAGCAATCTAAAAACAAATAAATGTGTGAAATATATTAAAAAGTTTTGATAGCCAAAAGACGTTTCAATTAATTACTTACGTATTAAAAAAATTAAACATAACACATTTTTTTTTTTAAGTACTCGTTAAATTAACTGATGTGAAAGCAGATATGCACATTTTCAACACCGATCGTTCCAGTATTGAGAAACGAACGTAAACGCACTCTTGCGTGCTTTTCATAATTTATATATATGTTGATAGCTAAATTATATTGTGATATATTTATGTATTTACGTTTATATATATATATATATATATATATATATGTGTGTGTGTCGGGTTAAATAATAGCACATCGTTACGTATATATTGGGTCATTAAGTATGAAACTCCGACAAACATATAAATATATTTTAATGACTCAATCACTTTCGAAATAATAATGGAAATTTATTCGAGTCACGAATGCAATCAGTCCACGAACAAACTCTTGTCTATGACTTCGATTATTATCACCATGATTACACTGTACATCACGTCAATTCTAATTTATATCGGCCAATTGTTTGTGCGACAGATAATTCTCCGTCAATATTGTCTTGGAAAATAAGATATGCAGTCCGTCGTTGATAAATGTCAATTTGTATTCGCACACGTATTGCATATTACATCGTATGTAAAATAAAACAAAAAAAAAAAAAAAGCTTTGCATGGAATATATGTGTGACTTTACGCCTGCACATATTTTGTCCGTCGTGTCGGAAAAACTTTGCATTCGACTTGACGACGGAGCATTTGTTTCCAACTTTGTAACAAACGAGATTTCGTTCCAGACTCGCGATTTAGAACTATCTGAACACGTCCGAGAGGAAACAAGGATATGCGACACTTTCTAACTCGTGTATCCACGAAGAGAGAGCGAGAGATTATCAGCAATCTGTGTGTTATTTAAAATCGCAATTTCATATATTTTATGTAATTATCGTGCAGTAGATAAACGTTTAATTATAATAAACGTTTCTTCGCGTATAAATATTTTATCACGAAATTTCGTTTAAATGGAGGTAACCGCGAGACGAATTGCGTCATAATTCAAGGAACGCGCTAACGACGTAATGTTATATACATGGAGACACACGTAGGGAGAGCTAACGACCAACTATACAAATTCTCGCGAGACCTCATTTACTACGACGAGGAAAACGCAAGTCGAAAACTCTGTATATAAGTTTACAGAGTGACAATTCTCGAAACGTGACGTTATTATTATTTTCCACATCCTGTGTGTAACTTTTTCCGAAATTCTTCTCAAACACAAATTTTACGCGATATTTTTTCTACCCGCACGCAAATCCGTCGCACGTGCGTCGGTCCGCCGAGCGTAAATATCAAATATAAGAGAACTATTCCATTTCTATTTGCGCAAGAGAATACCGCAAAAATATTATTCCATTTTTTTTTCTTTTTTATTTATACGTTTATTTTTCGTTCGAATAAATCACTAAAGTAAATATACACGAGTGTGTGCGTGTGTAATAATCAATTGTACGAAATTCGCTGGCGCGTGAATAAAGATTTCGAGGAAAATGCCGCGAGTGTAATCATAATGAATGGTGTAATTGATACAAAGAAACAGCGTGTGTACTTTTCATTTATAAAAACAAAAAAAAAAAAAAACAATCGTCTGTTTTTACTTTCTAACATATCGGAGTTGCAATATCTTACTTAGGAATGAAAAAAACCATTAGTTTCTCAGATAGTAATCTGTCTGTTGGTGAATACGCATTCATGTGTAATCTGTCACATTAGTAAATATAAACCCATGATAAATTACCTAATTAAAAACAGTAACTTTATACGATTCGCAATATCTCGCACGTGTTTTCGATGCCTGTTCATTGAATCATTATTTATCGGTTTTCCGCGCGTTTTCAAAGCGCAAAAAGAAACAAAAAATCGCGCTTGCTGCTCAACACGCCAATTAATTAGAAACTTCCGCAAATTGATTTACGAGCGTTATAAAAACGCGATAATTTACGGGGTGTGAAAGTCGATTTAACATAATCAGTCTACTTCTCGCGCGTGTAGAACTGTTAAGCTATGCGTGCGCCCTCTCGCGGGAATTTATATCTACCGTGAAAAGCACTTCTCGATTGCAGAAGCGTCGAGTAAACATAAAATCGCGTTAGTTGCCCTACGTTTATATTCCCGTGGGAAATTTTCGAGTTCTATCTTATATCGTACGTTTAGCCGCGGAAAACAATTCCGGACGGAGTCCTCTCCCTCGTCGGTTTTGTCACACACGCTCCAAGTATGTGCGTGAAGTAATTAAAATGATGAAAGAACTCTACTTTTTTTTCCCGCACGCTCGCGGCTTTTTAAAGAGAAACGAACGGACAGAAATCTCCTTGTGACCATTAAAATTAAAAATTCTCGAGTGCGTTCAAAAACACCGAGGGAGTCCCCTATAAATTCTCAAGAGAAATTTTTTAATATAAGGAATTTAAGTACACTCGTACGTAACACTCAAAGCGAGAGACACGTGGAAAAATCAAAGTTTTTACAAAATGCAGGAAAATAAAAACAACAAAGATTGACGGGGACCGCACGATACGTTACGTTTGGCGCGCGATATAGGCATTTTGTTCAATTTTTTGAAAAAAAAAACACATTAGAAGTATTAAAAATATTTTTACGAACGGAAAGAGAAAGAGATTATAAAAACGAGAGTTTTCTCTTCGATATTACGTACCCACTATATATTCCTCTGTCACATTTATGCCGGTCGTATCGCAAATTGTATGCTTGGATGTACGTGCTAGATCTTTATGTTTTTGTCGTGTCATTTCAATCCAAGTATATCGCCTACGTGACGCTCACATTGGACTTGTGTCACGTACAAGCGAACTACAAACGTTACATAACAAATGAAGAGGATTGGCTTTTTATCTCTTCGATTGTCGCGCATGTCATGAAAGTGCACATTAACTTTAATCCGTTGATAAATGATTTCATTCACCGTGCGTAGAGAAAAAGAGCGATAAAAATGTTAAATTTACTTTCTTCGACGAGGAGGGGTTTGTGCAATTTACGCGTTTATATATAGAAAAAAAAAAGAAAAAAAAAAGAAAAACACAACAGCAACAATATGTCTCTCCGCAAATCAGTCGAGAAGTTATTAATCCTCAATGAAATCTGTCATACACGGTTTGACGCGATAACAGAGTTGGACGTCCTGCGTGTCTACGAACCGTGGAGAAAAAAGTGCATCGATAAATCACACGCCTATAACAAGAGAGTTACGCCGCGTGTTTACATTTCGCGACTTTTAAATTGTCGTATATCACGCACGATTCGTATAGAAAACACACACACCCACACACGCACACACGTTACATAGTGTCGCACATTTTATTTATTTATCTATTTATTTACTTTGTTTAAGAGATACCGCAAAAAAGCACACAACGGTATACCTTTTCGCGCATTAGCGCACATCGCGTTGCGTGTGTGACGTCAATGCAAGACGCTTGATATAGCGAGCAAAAGAATCGCGGAGTTTAGGAAAACCGCGTTATCGCGAGAACGATATCGCGAAGAACAACATTTCGAGAAAACAAATGTTGTTCTTGTGGTATATATATATGGATCAAGAAATTACGCGTCTTCCCCACATCAGAAGAAGCTTGCGCGCGCGCGCGCGCGAACGAGTGAACGGAAAGAGTACACGACTTCGTGTGTGCGTGCGTATAAACATATGCATATATATATATGTATATAATAACACTCGACGCTATCGTAGCGCGACGTGGTTCTCGGCTGTAAACACGAAAACAACACAGGCCAACATACCTTCTCAGGGCCGTATCGCACGTAGCGGATTGGCGCGCGCGGTTTCTCGTCCGAGATATCAACAGGAAGGCCACTTCGCCGCTTCAGATGACCTCTCTTTTTCTATGGTAGGAATTTGAGATAAGCGATGACGCCCGGGAAAGGAAACGAACGCGCGGACACACATCGCCAATGCGACCGCGACGCGCACAAAACGAAGAAAGAAAGAAGAAAAAAAAAAGTAGCTGCTAAGGACTGTATTACAAGCGACAGGCAAGCGACGCAGCGTCGTGCCTCTCGATCGAAAAACGTCGATGGAAAAACGTTGGCAGGTTTTTTTTTCGACGCGGTCACGTGGAAGACGAAAACGCGACGGCGGCGCCAGCAGTGTTCCGACGCGATCCTAACCTTAGAGAGCGCGGGGAAAAGGACGCTGATATAATCGGGCGTAAAAATCGCTTGGAAGAACGCAGAAGCGAGTATCGCTCGCTCGTGTGTACACGCACGAAAACACGGTCTGTGCGTCCGCCGCGATTCATGTTCGCTGCCGCTAGCACGCGAGACGGAGAAAGAGAAAGAGAGAGAGAGAGAGAGAAAGAAAGATATATACCGACGCGGAATGAAGGGGAGACGTGGTGGGGAATACACGCGCGCGCGGCTACGACCGAGGGAAAAGCGGGAGACGCGCCGAAAAATATGATGGTGGGGAAAAATCGGAGGAGGAGGAGGAGGAAGAGGAGGAGGAGGAGGGGTAGAAAGATGGATAGAAGAGTAGAAAGCGAGAGAGAGGGAACACACAAAAGTTCCGACGCGTAAAAATATTTCCGTGTTTTGGTGTGCGTCAGTTCTCTCTCTCTCTCTGTGCGTTCTTTCTCTTCTCTCTCTCCCTCTTTCCACTTCTCTCCTCTCTTCCTTTTCCCTCTCTGTCTTTCTCTCGTTCTACGTCCGACGACTACTGGAGCAAGTCGGCAGCGTGTGTCCGCCTCTTTGCAGCCTTTACTCGAGCTCAGCGCTCTCGCTTGTCTCTTTTTGTACACTTAGAACGCGGAGAGCAGTCGTAGAGCGAAGAGAAGAGAGTGCGTAAATGGCGGAAGACGAAAGGGTGGGCGGTGCGCAAGAAGGGCAGCGGGAATGGAAATGCTAATCTTTGAACGATAGGAAAGTGCTTTCGCTTTTTATTGCCCGTTCGTTATTCTTCTCGACGAACGAGTTTAAGTGATGATTCAAGTTTTCGACGCACTATTTCTTTTTTTAACGCGCCGACTGTAAATCCAGTAAATCTCAATAACCCGCTCGAGTATACACAAAAGAAGAGAGAAAAAATTATATACACGTTACGTACGCGCGTTGAGACGCGCGTGCGCGCTTACACGTACGCCGCCGCCGCCGCCGCCGCCGCCGCGTTTTCGTGACGATGACAATTCGTGATATTTTTTCTCCCGGAAAGTTTTCTCCCCGACTGTTAATTACAACAACCGAATGACTCTCTCTCTCTCTCTCGCGGACATGTTTTCCTTTCTTCGCGAACGTATAAAAGACTCGAGAGGAAAAAAATTCTTTTCTTAAGACACAGAAATAATATTATGCAATGTGTTACAGCTTTCTCGTGGAAAAAAAATGTCTCCCCAATGTGCAATATACACGCGTCGTTCTCTTCGTAGCGATTCGAGGGTGAATTACGACGAGTTTCGCGCGCGCGCGCGTGCGTAAGCGTCTTTCTTTTCTCAATAACACACAGTTGTGTAAAAAAATTGCTACTTTAACTGTACGAACGAGAGCGGCGCGGGCTGATGAAACGACGACTACTACTACGACGACGACGACGACGACGACGACACGGCGGCGGGACGTCACCCGGGATGCTCTAATGACATCACGGAAGCGCGAACGAACGTTGCGCGACTCGCAAAAAAACTTTTGATGAAATATCCGCGAGTTTCGCTAATAGTTTTTTATCGCGCGCGTTTTTTCCTCCCCAGAGAAAGATAATACTCGAACGACGATGATCAACATCGAAAAAGAGAGAGACATTTTTCACAGTTTTTTCATCACTGCGCGTAAAAAAAAAAAAATCTCCGTTAAAAGAAAAATCCTTTCATCCGCCAATTTTTTTTTTTTTTTTTTTTTTTCAAATTTATTCGCACAAAGAGCAGGTGTAAGCGAGGAGAATGCGGCGATTAGAATGTGAATGGCAACGGTAAAAGCTTCGCAAGCGCGCTCTATTAGCATCTCGCGCGCGGCTGTCAATCGTCACCCGCGCGCAATTGTCGAGCAAGTTCAACACTATCAAATTCCGACAATTTCAAAGCTCCCCCCTCCCTCCCCTCCGGATCTATTTAGTCAGTCCCGTGTGGCTTTGATGTTTAAATGCGCTCGCGTATGTAATTTCTGTGAACTGTTAATAAGGCACCGAATCGCGCACGATCGACACACGATCGATTTGAGCGCATCATATGTAACCAAGTACGTACACGTGTAGACAGATATGTACGGAGAGACGGAGGATTGTTAAATATGCGAAACGAGACGTAGATAGCGACGTTAATTTCACATTGCTCGTTGCTTTTGACAAGTTTCGTCATTTGAAGGAACTATAAATGTCAAACGCTCTGCCTCTCGTTATCGCGCGCATTTTTGCGCGTTGACAGCTCGCTAAAGTAGACGCTCTCTCGCTCTCTCTCTCTCTCTCTCTCTCTCTCTCTCTCTCTCTCTCTCTCTCGATGAATTTTATTTTGACGTCGCGCCAGCTCGCACTTCAACTGTTGCAAAATTAACGAGTTGGGCTTTGAACTCGCCCGCCTGTCGTTCGCGCCTTATTCGCAAGACACGGCTCCCTCTCTCTCTCTCTCTCAGGCGCGATTTCCATTTTATTTCCAAATCTGGAAAAAAAACTGAGACACGTTTTCTCAAGCGCCAAACAAAGTCATCGACGCCGTAAATGGCTCTACACTCACGGGCGAGCTGTGTCGGCGCGTGTATACGAATAATTGAGCGTTTGACGTTTTTTGTTCTCTCTTTCCGAAGAATGAAACTTTGTGTGTCAATGACAACAACGAGAGCAAATGCGATATTACTGCCGACATCTGTGCGTCGTTTCGGACGCAATCCTCGTCAATCGTCCCGCGTGTGTGGCGAATTCGCTTCAAACTCGAGAATACGCATCAAGACGTATCAAGACGGGAGGGGGAAAGAGGTAGAGAAGCAACGACCGTTATTGGATATATTGTACGGTCTCTGTACGATGTAATCGTGTTTCGCGGATCTGCAAACGCGAGTTACCGCATAATTCCGCTTACTACGCACGTTACGGAGTTTAACGAACTTTGTTCCGAATGGGATAAAACATTTAAACAATTGACACTTTACCGTCAATGTGTTTTGTTTTTGCAACAAAAAGGATTACTTCAGAATCCTTTTTAGTTGCACAAAAAAAAAACTTTTTATCTGTAACCGTAGATGTTAACAACTAAAAGATATTAACTAAATAGTAAAATCGATACGACAATATGCCAGATGTATGCGCATATGTATGTATTCTTTAACTAATAATTAAATTAATAATCATTATATAATATGGAAATTTTTGAATTAAATTCAGTTCAGAAAATTTAATTAATATATATAGAATGTTCGAATTGTGCATTTCATGTATGTGAAATGTTCAGTTTCCCTCCTCGGCGAAAATGAAAAATTCCATTGCGAAAAAGACAGAAGTCGAACCCAAATCTCCCGCATTCCGCGCCTTATTTTCGCGGACATACTTCAAAAATGACTTACGAGTCAGACAGACTGTAGAAGATCCACTTCAAAATCAAATATCTCCGCGAAAAATCAATATTTCCTCAATTTTGTTTTTTGAATCGAAAGTTTAAACAATTTTTCGTCGATCACAAACGACAAATTGAAAAAACATCTCTGGTAATTTTGAAAATAAAGCGTTTAAAAAACCTAATTTTTACTGGAAAAAACGCCGATGCGCAATTGTCGAGCGGGTCTGGAAGACCCGTGTCTGTCGGCGAAAAGTGAATTCGGTCACCAGATGCATCAGGTGAATTTCTCGCAATGAAAATATCAATAAAGTAGAAAAAGTGCTAACTATATGATCGGTATCACTACTTATATAAAACGCGCAATTGTCTTGTCTCTTGCCCCACACGCGCTTACAGAGAGCTGTGAATTACGCTCGGTATGTTGCACGTACGCGATGTGTTTTTATCGCGGCACACCGCGCGAGATAGTGGTTCACTGAAACCTTAAATTTACTGTTACACAGTTATCAGATCACGCTACACGACGCACGAAAATGTATGTGTGTATGTGTTGCGCAGCTACTTATTCCGAATTACGCGAGTCGTTTGTTTTGACGATTGCGTAAGCGCGGTCGAGAAATATATCGCTCTGTATCTGTAGGTTTTTTGGTTGCAAGAATTTACGACGGCAAACAATCGCGTCTGTGAAAATGCGAAACTGTTCGCTTCAAAGCGCTCTCGCTCTCTCTCTCTCTTTTTATTACGATAAAAGTCGAACGACGAAGCATTTCTCAGTTGACGTCGGTTAAAAGTAAATCGTTTTTTTTTTATTGCTTGTTTTGCAGAGAGACTTGTAACGCACTTGTAATTTCAAATGTGATACAGTTAAGATATCGCCAATTATGTTGAACGTTTACCTTTTGGATCTTTGATCCGTCATCAATATGTGAATACGAGAATGGGGGAAAAAAAACGGCGCGAGACCGCAACATTAATACGAAATATGCAAAATTATGCAAACTACCGTGAATGTTGATTTACTCAGTCATTATGTGGTTTTTTTTTTTTTTTTTTTAACGAATCTTGAACAAAAAAAAAAAAAAAAAAAAATGAGGCGAGAGAAAACACGAACTGCCTGTGCGAACACTCGCACTTTTTGTCCACTTGCAAATTTAACGCATCCAAAAAAAAAAAAAAAAAACATTGCACCCTGACAATACATCCTGCTTGAACTCTCCGGACAATTCCGCGCGCTCTCGCATTCAAATGGAACCTTTGTGTCACGCGTCCGACAAACGTTATTGTAAATAACGCATGCCGCCGGCGTTTAACAACAACATTCTCTCACTTCGCGAATCGCGCAAAGCTCTGCTTTGCTTGCGCACCGCGCCCGCGGAAAGCCCCACACGATTGAGGGAAACAATGAGACAAACAGATGATAATGCGCTATCGAGAAGCGAGCGAGCGCGGTATGGCGAAACGTGTGCGCGATCATCGTGGTTCAATGATTCTCCGATTCCGATGATATTACGCGCGCCCGCGAAACGAAGAAAAACCGAGGCTTTAACGCTTCGTTGTCGCGTAATAAATGTATACACACCGGGAGCGCGCGCACAAAAATTTCGAAATTATAAAATATCGCCTCTATAAATTGGAAACGTCGCATGATAAATTAAACACACAACGGAATTTTGCCGTTTCAGACGTAACGGGGGAATGTTAATGAACGTATTAATGTCCGGTGTGTGAAAAAGAAGCGTGTTTATATAGTTGGTTTATTTTTTTTTTTTTTCGATAACAGAACAAAATGCGTGTATGTAATTAATTACCAGTGACATATAAACATAATTAACGCTCAGAAAACGACGTAGTTTTTTTTTTTTGTTTTTTGTTTTGTGTCGAGAGTTACGAGAAGACGTCGTGCTCTCGCACAAAATCCTTAAGAAGAGACTCGCGCGCGGTTGAAGGTCATTCGGAAAATAAAAAACGCGCATAAAATAAAACGTTTTGACGTTAAATGACAAAGCGCGCGTGAAACACAACGCGCGCCAAATTCGCAGTATATTGAATGGAGAACACGCAGGGGGCGATCGATAAAGTATCGATCTAACCTTATCAATCGGCTCTCGCGGAACTAACGAAGATTTAAAGAGTCAACTTGTTTTTTTTTTTTTTTTATAATTCGCGACCGTGCATCGAATAGACGAGTACTTTTCGAAAAGAGCGGAATTAACGAATCTCCACTCGAAATCTTCTTTCGCGTAATTCAATTGAATGTACGCTCGTGTGTATCGAACACGACTGTAAAGAGTTGTTATTTTTAATCTGACAACTCTGATAAATCTTTCATCACGTTTCTCTTTCTCTCTCAATCGTATCTACGACGAAACACTTCAACAATATTCACGATCGTCTGTCTTATTTTATGACGTCTTATCTCTCGATCGTATCGAAAAGTTAAATCACGAAATTTTTCGGTCATAATGAAGCGAGAAATCGAGGAATAAATTTGTGTTGCTTTACAACGCAAATATTTGTATACGCGTTCAATTAATCCAACTCTCTCCCTCTCTCTCTCTCTCTCGTGTAGAATTTTGTAATTGCGCTTTTTGCAACGTTGCATTTTCAATCGTCTATATTTTATTTTTCTCTTTTTTGCAATTCATTATATTGTATAATTGATTACTTTGTAACTTATGTTATGTTGTATTTATTATGTAATTTTTATTTATATGTTCGCTCGCGGGCGAGTCGCAAAAGAAACAACGCAAAAAACAAATGCTCGTTCGCTCGCTCGCTCGCTCTCTCTCGAAGTCACGAATTTTCAACCTCACTCGCTCGCTCCGCCGCGCCCGAGTATAGATTTATTGCCAAACGCGTCGCTCGTTAAAGTCAATGCGTGAGAGATGGAGGTACGACAGTCTTACGCGATGCCACGCAAAAGCATTGACTCTTTACACAGCGCGTGATACGTCTCTCTCGCGAGATGATGACACGTTTCCTCATTCAAAAAAAAAAAAAAAAAAAAAAACTCCCTCCGGCGTCTCGTCTGATCGTGAAGCATATTGCGTTATGATTCTACAAAGGACTCGGATTCCAATTACTTAATTGCCCCGCCACGTAGCACATAATATACGTAACATCTCTATCTCTCTTTCTTTCTTTCTCTCTCTCCCTATCCCCCCCCCTCTCTCTCTCTCTCTCTCTCTCTCTCTCTCTCTCTCTCACGTGTAACAAANCTCTCTCTCTCTCTCTCTCTCTCTCTCTCTCTCTCTCTCACGTGTAACAAACGACCGACGATCTTGTGAATAAAAAAACCGCGAGGCGAAAATACGCTATTAATAAAACGCTCGCGTAAATACATCGACACTCCGGAGCAGCTAGACGCAATTTTTTGGAAGGACGCGTCACGCGATTACGATTTCTCGTCCGAAAGAAAATATAGGCAATATTGCGCAACGATACGCACACACAAACGTCTCGCCGCCGCCCGAAATAAACTGTCACTTGCCTTTCAAAAACTCTCGATACGATATAGAACAAACAAAATCTATGCTATATAAGAAACGAATCGTCGTTTTACCTACTTTTCTTTTAGCGCCCCCCGAGTTATACCAATGCAAATCGCGGTATGCGACGATGAGACGCGTCGAGTCCTCCCGCTTCGTTTAGTCGCGCGCCGCTCACACACACACACACACACGCACACATAACCGAGAAAGAAAGGAGAGAGAAAGGAAAGCAAGAAAAAAAAAACATTCCGCCATTTGTTCGCTCGCGACGCGCACAAATTCACGTTTGATTTTTCCATATACGAATCGCACGCAGAAGTTTCGTGTGTTTGTAAACACACCGCGCACACGTTTTCGACAGACCGTGCGAGGAGACGTCGACGCACCCGACGCGATTTACAATAAAACTCTCTCTACGCGAAAAGGTATATACACTCTCTCTCTCTCTCTCTCGGTCGATCGCGGTGTCATCGTATTACAACTCCTACGCCATAGTCCGAGTCGAAGAATCCGAAGTCCGACCGTAACGGGGAAAGAAACGCAATATGGAGCGGAGAAGGAGAAAGAGAGAGAGAAAAAGTGAGTGAGAGCGAGCGAGCGAGTGAGAAAGAGAGAAAAAAAAAAGAGATCGGGGAGGGCGGAACTCTCGCACACACTAGAGTCTTGGCTTCTTCTTCTGCTTCTTCTCACCACAATATTTAGCGTGAAATACGGCCGGATGGGTTTATGGTGACGTACGTATTGCGATTCGCATTACAACAAGTACAACATCAACACACTCGACAGCAAAAGCCGCCGAAAAAGATAAACAAAGTCACGTAAAGTCACAGTGTGTGCCGCGGTGTGGATATATACGATGCGGTTAAGTTAACAAACAACACACCAACCTTCCGTGGGTTTTCTTACGGCGCAATTTACGCGTGAGATACCGGTAAAGAGACTGGTAGAGTGCTGCTCTCTCGGTTTCTCTGACGTTTGCTTGACGCGCGAGAACTTCAACGCCGATCGCGCAAAATCTATATACTCCCGAGAGAACGGAGAGATACGAGAATTGGGAGACTCTCGGGGCGCGTCGACGTGTGCACGTGAAGGAAACGTGAAGAGGACCGAAACAAGGACTTCGTGGGGAACTTCCCACGTGAGAGAGATCCGGGAATCCGCTCGCCGCGCTTTTTCCGCCGATCTCGCCCAATCGCGGGAGCACCCTGCGCCGCCGGCGAAACGATCAAAACAGAGAGAGGAAGGAGGGCGCGCCGCAACGCGACGCGACGCGACGCGCGGCGGCAACCGGGGGTTGGTGGGGAGATAGAAGAGAGGTCGCAGGCATTGAGCGGGCGCGACAGAGCGCAAGCGAGGGAGAGAGAGAGAGTGACACGGCCGAGGCGCGCGCGGAAGAGAGACAGCTGGCTCGGAGCGTCAGACAGTTGGGAGGGGCGGAGGGGAGCGAGAAAGAGGGACGATCCGCGTCTTGTATATTGCGTAGTAAGCGCTTGAATGGATTACGTCACGCGACCGGAGCAAGCCAGAGGGTAGAAGTGCGTAGCGCGCAACGTCGTCGTCGTCGTTGTAAACGTCCGAATCCGATGGCGGGCGTCCATCATCGTCGTCGTCGTCGTCGTTCTCCTTCTTCCTCTTTGCCTATCCCTTTCCGTGCCACGCCGCACGCACGGTACAATGCACGGAATGACGCGCTAAGCGATGCGCCGCGCGTATAAATCTAAACCAGACGAGAGAAGAAGCGACGCGCCGTTGCTCCTTTCTCTCCGTCGCGGTTGCGACGCGTCGGCTCGCTCGCTCGCTCGCTCGTTCGTTCGTTCGCTCGTTCGCTCGCTCGCTCGCTCGCTCGGGCTGGCGTTGAGATACAAACGCGCGATCGATCGCCCGTTTCGTACGTTACCCGTGCCGTATATAAAGTGTTCCGGGGGGCGGAGAGGGGGAGAATCTGCCCCGGTTTCGAAGACGACGCACATGCCTCTCCTTCCCCTCTCCCCCTCCGCGCGATCGCTCGCGGGGAGCGTTGCGCACCGTGCCCACGTGCGTTCACACGAGTCTCGATCGCGTCTCGCGCACCCATGTACTCGCGTTTCTTCCTCCACCTCGTTCGCCATTCCTCTCTCCCCCTGCCCCAACCCCCGCCCTCCTTTCTTCCTGTCTTATCCTACTATACTCTCTTCCCAGACGCGCTAATGCGCGTGTATGTAACCGCGCATACGGGGTCTCTCCCGCACGTATTTATATATCCTCGCCATTTCTCTCTGTCTCTCATGCTCGTCTTTCTACGAGGCTTTGAGAAAATTTACGCTCCAAGCTTTTTTTTTTCTCTCGCCGCGAATCTCTCTCTCTCTCTCTCCTCCCCCCTTCTTGTTAACGTCGCGAAAAAGATGTGTGTGCGCGCGCGTGTGTATAACATTTCTCATTCAACCACCCGCTTTTTTTCTCGCCGGTTTTTTTTTTCGCTCCGCTTTTGTTTTCGCCTCGTGAGAGAGACGCGCGAGAGCACACAGCTTCTTCGCGGCGGAAACAACGCGCGCGGCGGCGGCGGCGGCGGCGGCATCACACACGTGGACAAGTGTGCTCGCTGCTCTGCTTTTGCTCCTCTTTCGGAAGTCGCTCACCTCGTACGTGTCCGTCGTGAATGCATGTGCGGCACGTGAATCGTGCGTATCGACGATCATGTAAAGCAGCACAGCGGCGGCGGCGGCGGCAATAGTCGTTGTAATAGCACCGACGATAATAATAAACGACAGCAGCGAAACGGAGAAGCTGCCGCGATCGGTATATCATTCGTCTCTTCGTTTCTTCCGGGAACGTATACACGGGGGCATGTAGACACACGGCAACACACACACGCGCGCGCGCGCGCACAGAATACACACACACACACACAAGCGTATTTAAACACGCGCACGCGCGCACATGTACACGCACACTCGGTGGATTCTCCGCCGTTTGTACGCGAGTGAACTCTTCTGCCCTCGAACGAGAAACACACAACGGCAACGCGCGCGCGCGCACACACACACACACTCTCTCACGGCTCGCCTTCTCTTCTGTGGCCGTGTGTGATGACGGGGAACGACGAAAACGCAACACACCCCGTCAACGAGTCAGCTGCTACTGCTGCTCGAGTCGGGCGATTATACACACCGGCGCGAGAGAGAGGCGATTCAACGCAGCCGCGACGCGCAGCGGTTCGCCGTGACGGTCGTTACTGCGCGCGCGTATATCGCGACGCAAACGCCATCGCGCGGTCGTCGCTTAAGTGAGCGCACGTCTCACGAGAACGTTTTAACGGTAGTCGGTGAGAATTTTTTTTTTTTTTTTTTTACGGATATACGCCGCGTACTGTGCAATGTGTGCAAAAGCGCGAGAAGATTGAAGATAAAAGACTCGTTGTTTTGACATCGATCTCCTTTGGGCGATCTCTTTCGGTTCCGAAGAGGAACCGCAGGAACGTTGGGAAGAGAAAATGGATAATGGATGTCCGAAGGAAAAATTTCTACCCGGGACAAACTTCAGAATGATCGGTGAGTGTTTGCCGCTTTTGTTTTTGAGAAACGGAGGAAAGGGAGAAAAACTTTGCCGCAAGATTCTGTAGTAAATATTTTGTTCTTTGAAGTTCGTTTTTCTTTGAGTAAAGTGCGGAAACGCTAAATTTTTGTTGTTGCAGTATTTGCAATTGCAGTCCCATGATGTTTGAAGGTTAATTCTGTCTCTGAGATTTCGATTAAATAACTTTTATCGGTCGTTATTTTCGAGATTAGTATTATCCGTATTTTTTGTTTATCATATATTTTACTCGCGATCCTCGAATCTTCATTTGCGATCTATTTCATTTATTCGCGGTAACAATAGGCGGCCATTGCGCGCACTAATCGATATCGAAGAGCAAATCGATAAATCTAATCGATATATCTGACAATCGCGTTTAGCGATATTTCGAATATTTCTCGACACTTTACACCGACACCGATTTCGTGTTTTCGAATGTTCACGGATCGCTTAACGAGTTATATAACTCGTGTTTACATCGCGACGTGCAGCGATAATTTTGATTTAAAAACCAACCGGTCCGTAAAATGTTAAATAAATATTCACGCGATTAATCGAACACCGTGTGGAACATATTTTACCCTCGTACCGACAACGGGAACAACATCTTGACCGTTCGCACTTCCGTCTCTCTTCTCCGTTCGATGTTTATTTTATTTATTTAATTTTTCCAACACAAGTGACAATATTCAACGTAAGACTTTAAATTGTTTCGTCGAGGAGTATTAATTAACACGGTGCGAGTTAATAAACCTAAATTGTGAAATAAGTTAATAATAAGAGGTAATTAGTTTTTTCTTAAAATTAATACACAAGATGGAAGAGCGTGGATAATATAGAAAATGGTAGAAAGAGGAACGGGAAATTTATAAACCTCTCTTCCGGAAAGTAGATTCCTGTTATATCAACGGTTAAATTAATAAAATTAGAAAGAAACAATCTTTTTTTTTTTCTTTTTTTTTTTACGTCATACATATGTGAGTGTAATTAAGTCTGTTCGCTATTTACGCGTACATTAAAGATAATTTGCACATTACGTTGCTTACTTCACGCAGGTGAATGGAAGTTTTACAAAAATAACTTTCATTACTGCAAGAGAGATACATTAGAGGTCTCTTTGAAGTGCCAAAATCTGAGATTCTTTCTCTCTCTCTTTCTCTCTCTCTCTCTCTCTCTCTCTCTCTCTCTCTCTCTCCTAACTTCTACAATCCCCATTTTGTATCCCGTTTTAAACGCACTTAACGCTAAGTGCCTGTATTCTACGTGATAAAATAAATAAAAACTAATAACGTGTGAGAAACAAACAAAATTATCGATCAGTCTACTTTCTTCTTGAGGACGTGTTGGCCGATCATCACTCGCCAGCAAAATTTCTTGAGCGCGTAAACGATCGATATCATACTCGCAGCGTAGAACATCGCTACGTCCACGCCGTAATAATGAATCGCACTTATGTATCTGAAACGAACATTTGTAATATTGTTATTTAATATTTTCACTTAAGAGCAACTTAATTTCTTTTGTTTTAATTGTAAGTATAAAATACGACGGGGCTTACCTCATTGAACTTTTCAAGTGATCGGCCCCTTTGTGCTTGGCAACGTGTTCCACCCACCACGTGGCCAATTCATTAGGACCGATTGGGAGATCGCGCAATAACGATCTTCTCTTTCGAGCCGCTTCTCTGTAAGTGTTGTTGTGAATCGCGGCAACTTGAAGTATACCTTCGCGAAGTTTGCTAATGGTTATGTCAGCCAAATCCATTACCAAAGCGTAGCCCAACTTGTCTGCATCAATCAATCGATACACGCGGAAGCGCAATTAATAAAATTAACGTCCGTAATTTTGTAGGATTATTTCAAATTGTTATTAAACTTTAATTGTGTCAGTTATTCGTACTTGATAACATTATATATTCGTTTCACTTTATATACGTGTTGCTTAACATATAGTTCACTTATCAGTTATATAAATATATAATATATTAAAACAATATAAATTATATATAAATATATAAGTACATATATTTTTCTTTTTTTTTAATATATATATTTATTAATATATAAATGTAATATGATATATATTGTATATGTTTGTAAAGTTTTTTGTTAACACGTATATATTTTATAAAAAGAACAAATTCTTTCTTTCGACCCTTTTGAATTATTTTGTTTTTCTATTTCCGCAGTAGCGGATATAACAGAAATAAACAACTTTATTTCTGTTATATCCCGACTGTTATTCCAGATTGAGATTTGGTTGCTACGCCATATCCTCGCGGCTATACTAGTCAGCGTTTCAATTATCTCCGGAATGCTGATTGAAGCACGCAGCGTTACATTTTCGTAAAAAAAAAAAAATTTGAAGAAAAGAGAGACGAGGATTTTTACCGGCTTGCGCCGCGTTTCCATCGTGATCGCAGAAAACCGGCAGAACCAGAGTCGGGACGCCGTGATAAGCCGCTTCGTGCAGGGATAACAGCCCTCCGTGGGAAACAAAAGCTCGTAACTTGGAATGCCCGAGCAACTCCTGCTGCGGCCACCAGGCAGCCGTCCTCACGTTCGCCGGTAGATCTTTGATCTTGCCACCCTCCCACTTCCAGATTACGTTGTACGGTAGCGTGGAAAAGACTGCGACGAAGATCTGCCGCAGCGCCTCTGGCATTCCGGAAGCTCTCACCGACGATCCCATCGAAACGAACACGAATCCTGCAAAAGTTTGTTCGACATAAAAAAAAAAAAAAAAAAAAAGTCCATTCCATGTACGCACACGTAATCCGAGATTTTCCATCAATCACGGCGCATGTCGCGAAGGAGATTTTGCATAATTGTGTGATGCGAAATATGATGCATGTCAATCCTCTTACCTTTAAAGCTTACATTTCTATAGCCGCGGGCAACGCGAATGATTGAATTTAAAAGAGATCAAATCCAATAAGAGAGAAAAATCAATAAAAAACAAATTTAAAATAAAAATTATCTAACAAATATATAAAATTCGTTGATATAATTTATGAGTAAAAAAAAAAATAAAGAAAAAAACCAAATAAGATAAGTGAAAATCCTCTATTTGTCGCTTTTTTGACAAATGGCGTTGAAAGTGGCGTGAACGGGCGTTGAATGAGCGGCGCAAATCTCGAAGATCTCCAATAATGGCAGACAGAAAAAAAAAAAAAATAAATAAATAAACAAAATGCGCGGCTTGTGAAAAGAAGAAATTACCGTGTCGCAGAAAGGACTCTAACTCGGAACTTAATTGCATCGCCGGTCTGCAATGGAGGCACGCCACGTTTACGACGTTCGACAAATAAGGCACGGAATCGCCTACGCTGTGGTGGTTGTTCTGCAAAGTCAGCGGTACTTCCGCCGTCAGATTGTAGAGATCGGGTATGTAACCTGTCGGGAAGAAGCGCAAAATACATACTACAGTCACATCGAGGAGGAGATACGTGTGTGTGTGTGTGTGCGTGTGTTTACGCTTGCTCCTGAACAAACACGCAATTTGCATGCAACTTTTTATCAATAAAAACTCAACAAACGATACATAGTACACGCAATTGTGGTAGTAGTATATGGGATGTTAATTTAAAACGCTCACCGAGATATCGCTGAAGAGTCGATTGGAGACGAATTTGAATTGTAAACCAATGCATAATTTTTAGCGTGAGCATACAAGCCACGTTTGTCACTCTCTGGAAGAAATTCATGTCTTGCGTAAACGTCACGCCGAAATACGGTGTGACCGTCCACGGTGATGGATTACCTTGTCGCACAATGGATCCGCTGTACAACGCCACCTGCGGAAGTAAGTGTAGTTTGTAAAGCGCGTCGTTTTTTTTTTTTTTTTTTTACTATTACTTTGACAAACATTGCAGATAAGTGTAATTGCATCCGCAACGAGGCAAATTGCCGGTTTTGTAAGTAGCTTATAAGCACGGAATGCGGGTTGCTAACGAAGTCATTTTCGAAGGTAAACGATGAGAGAGAGAGAGAGAGAGACGTGATTTTCTTAATGGAAAAGCGTTGTTCCGTCGTTATATAAGCTCATTTGTATTACGCGTTGGGTAATGTAATTAATGAATAATGAAGAACAAAATCCAGAGTGAAATTAATCCGGGAAGAACAATCGAAATTGATCTCTCTGGTTGTAGTTAGATTTAATTAAAAAAAAAAAATTTATATAGAACGTCAGATATCTCAATTATTTATTTCTTTTTGATCCGCTCCAGATCAGATTTTAATATCAAAACTCGAAATAGTCAGACAGCTAAAGTTTGCACATTTGTTTTCTTCTTGATTGTTGGCTAAATGTTTCAATTGATGATGTGATCGAAAAGAAATAAATAATCAAAAATAATTAATGTAATAATCGAGAATAATTAAATGATCATTGGTGGGAGGGGCTCATGTGGTTCAGTTTTCTTTGAATTAATTACAAGAATAAGGAAAACAAAAAATTTTTTCAGAAAAGAGTAATCGAAGAAAGCGACGAACGTGAAGTGATGGCAAAATCACAATCTGACTTTGAAAAGATTTCATTTGTAAGCTGTTCGAAAATAATTCATTTCCTGCATATCACGTCGTTATATCAACGTCGAGTGAACAGTACAATATTCATTAGCTTTTTTTTATTACTTTTTGCGATGCGCGTTGACTGTTTTCATTTATATGGAAACGAAGATGAAAAAAAAGAAAAAAAAAAATAATGAACCTCGTGTTTTTACGCATTCCGCACTCGTGAAGTAATCGCGACCGGACGCGTGTAACCTTTACAACGAACACGCGTGCAAGTTCGGAGCGCGCGAGATGAAAAGAAATCGGTATCTCTTTATCGACGTATTTTCTCTGCGTACGTATCTAGAATGTCGATGTCGGAACGAACTCAGCACGCGCGCCTACACACGGTTGCCAAACTGACTGACGCAAATAAATGCCTCATAAATAATTCTGACGATTTTTGTCGCGGTCTTTGTCGCGTACGAGCGCGAAGAGTTAATGTATTAACGCTTCGGAAGCGTTTCTGCAGTTGCAAACAATCGTATCGCGCGCGCGCGCGCACACACACAATTAAGAGCCGAGGTAATGAAGTCATAGCGACGACCGAGAGTTTCGTCGTAATGAAAATCGAAAATGTTGCCGCGAGCGTCGTTTATATAGCCGCGCGAATCGATCGGTTTGCGGTTTTCTTCCGGAAACTCGTTCCGAACAACTTCCGCTTATTACCGTGTTCAGCATTATCGTCGGCACGTTTTCCCCGTGGAGAATTCCCAACAGGCACTCGGGATAAGCGCCGTCGATCACCGCGACGTCCCATCGGGCGTGCGGATCCCCATCCGGTTTTCTCAGACCGACGACCGACGGCGTGTCGCGCAGGAGCGCGTCGCACGCCTCCCAGGCGTATCTCATGGCGTCCCACGGTGAAATCGGAAGCTCGTTACGGAACCGGGCGCCCACGAGATCCCATTCGGACGTGAAGTTCTCGACGTAAGCCTACACACACGAAGGTGGATTGAACACACACACACACACACACGCGAACAATAAATCTCGTTGCGATGTTCCGGACCGAAGCCGGGGAAGAAACTTCTCGGACTTCGATCCTGCGAACTTTCGCGGTATCGGTGGAACTTGTACGCGAAGTTTTTATGTGCGACTTCGCGAAGTTTAATGGCGGAAAAAAAAAAAAAAAAAAAAAGAAATGCAGCACGGCGTTAATTTAATTCTTTAAGAGTTAACAGAAGAGGTTTAAGTGTACATCTCCCGAGATAAGATCCGAGCACAAAACACCTTGAAATAGAATCGAGAAAACTTTAACGGTTGCAAATACAAACGTCAAAAAAAAAAAAAAAAAAAAAAAACGTCCACGTGGGTACAATGTCGATAACAATGAGAACGAATAAAATCAACAAGACGAAGTCGTAACCGAGCGAAACGTATGTGACAAATGCGAGCGGCAAACAGATCGGGAGATCTAGTCCGCGTTAGAAAGAGGAGAGAAGAAGAAAAAAAAAAAAACTCCTGAATATACAAACGCGCGCCGGATATCACCTCGAGAATCGACGGCACCAATTCGTGAAGACCATTGTTCGCCGCGGGTCCGGGAAAAGCGCTCAGCAGCGTGACATTGTGACCGCGCGATCTAAGACTCGTTCCGAGAGCGACGAAGGGCACCGTGTGCGACTTGGTGCCGCCCATAGTGGCCATCAGAACGTTGTACGCCAGCAGGGATTCGATCAGCGACGAGAGCCCGACGACGAGAACAAGTTGATGCGCGACGCACGTCATTTCCAGGAAGGATATGTTGTCGGCTTGTTGTCGTTGAGGATGATCAATGACAGAGAGTTCGCGACGTATCTTCTCCTCTCCCTCCGCGCGCGCGTTTATCACCGGCGAACTTTTATCAACGAGGCGGCACGACAGTCCCGCTGACTGGCATTATTGTTCTGATCTTTTTCTTTTTTTTCTTTTTTTTTTTTTTTTTTCACGGATAATTCCCCGTCACGCTCGATCAACGTTTCGCTTTCGTCACGAAGAACTCTTTCGTGCGAAGCGAGAAACGGCACGAATCGTATATTTTCTCTCTTCTCGTGCAGTTTCCGGTCCGATAATCGCTCGTTCGCTCGCCGGACGCGGGAAGAAGTGAAAGAAATCTCCCTTGCGCTCTAGTTGTCAGGCACCGATGACGAGAATCGACGTCTCCCGCCGTCCTGCGAGCGTCGTCCTTCTGTCGTGATTCGCAGCACCTGATGATGAGTCGCTGCCGGTCGGCTTCGTCGTCGCGACTGCGAAATCTCGCATCCTCCGGTCTCCTTATCCTCTTCTTCGCACTTCGTGCGAATTACGAGAGAGCGCGTCGATAATTGAGGAATATGTAATACGGGGTACGGGCTTTTCAAAAGCGCGGAGTTTGTTCGACGGAGAAGGAGGAGGAGAAGGAGGAGAAGGTAACGAAGGTCGCCAGACCTATTGTCATTCTAATACACCGTCGGTTTGAAAAAAAAAAAAAAACGTCGTCAGTCCGAAAATCTGAATACCCGTAGTGAATCGACGCGACCGTTCCTTTTATTTGCTTCCGACAAAACACGAGCGCGGTTCGAAAAACGCTATTCTTCCTTTTGTGCGCGATTTATCGTGTCGAGTATCCTCTCTCGCCGGGATCTTTCTCCACGTCGCCGCTCTCTTCTTACATGTAAAAGTCTCGTCGCGCGCCGAGAGCAGTATTTTGTGTATTCCTTTGATCTTGAGAGAAAAATTGCTCGCGAGCGAATGCTGCTCTCGAGCTGCAGAATGCCTCAACTTCGGGATTGTCGAAAATCGGAGATTGCACAACTGAAGAGATTCTTCAGCGAATTTTTGATCAGTTTCTCTTTCCTTCACTTTTCTCTGATTTTTGTTTATTTGATTTTGCGCAAGTGGCACTCTCTTGATTTCTCACGACTTTTGCGAGAGATTACGAAATGGATACGCGGCCAAAAACAAACGCGCGCGCACTTTCGGCAAATTTCAACGTCAAGTGCTAAAAGCGTTTTAAGTGGTTTGTTTTTGTTTGTTTTTTTTTACGGAGTCGCGTTGTAAAACTTTTACTTACTTTTAATTACTTTGACACACACACACACACACACCGGTCGCGGTCGGTGAGTGATTAAAAAAAAAAAAAAAAAACAAATTGTTGTTTAACTTGAACGTTAAATCAGCTTCTTGAAGAGTAATATCGTCGTTTCCCGCGAGTCTGTAAAACGCGTGTAGCGCGTTCATTGAGTCGCGCGCGAACTTGAATAAAGAGTTCGAGCGCGAATGAGAAAACTTCGAAATCCGCGTTTTTCTCGCTTCGGTTGAAGCAATTTACGTCGAAGAGCTACACAAGAGGAAAGGAAAATTTATGTGCGCGGAAAAAAGTCTTTGAGGTGCGAGAGCTTTTTTATTATTATTATTATTATTATTGTACTCTATATATCTCGCGTTTTTATTCCACATACGCGTTTTAACGAGTGTGATATTTTTCTTTTCGTTCTCTTTTTCTCTATATTTTTCTTATCTTCTCGCCCAAGTTCTCTTCTTTCTCGCGCGGAATCGCGCCAAGCACACAAGAGAACCGAACTCTAAAAAATTTCTATTGGTTTTCCCATCGATCTCGTTTTAACCGCGGCGCCGCGGTATAAAAAGCCGTAGTTTTACTGCGAGTATCGGATCCGGTCGTTTCCGCGAGTCTTTTTGCTCTCAATAACCCTCGAGAGGAGGGTTTTTACTCACGTTGGAGCGCCTCGTACATATCACAGGATATCGCTTTTCTTCTTTCTCAAGCCACTTCAAACAGTTGGACTTCTTTCCGCTCTAATGTTCGCTCTCGAAGTGGTTTCGCGGGGAACAATCCGAGGGGTGGGGAGGGGGGAGGGAAAGAGGGAGAGAGAACACAATGACGCACAACTTTTCTCGATTCTCGAGAAAGAGAATACTTTTTAAAGCGTCTCCGTCACGAGACGCCCGCTCGGGAAGTTCTTTGCAACGTTAAATGTTGAAATTCGAACTGCGTCGCTCGTCTCGGTGCGCAATTTTTACCCAATTATTTCTCCCTTTCTCCGGGCGCCAGGTGAAGATCGCTTCTCCTTTCCTTCTGACCTTCTTTGCCACTTTGCGCGAGATTCTTTCGCGCGGGTACGACGTACATACGTACAAGCCGCCAATCTTGGATCCTCAAACGGGCGCGCGCGCGGGTGACTTTCACTAATAACGCACGCCTCACTTTATGTATCTACATGCACGATCACCCGTCGTGATAATTCAATCCTACGCCAGTCGGACGATCGATCCTTCGCGTCGAGTTTCTCATCACTCGGTTCATATCATTTAAGCTTTCAACGGGTCGAGATGAAGACGTATTTTTCTTTTTTTTTTTTTTTTTTTTTTTTATTGCCTCACAAATACACGCGCTCTGGAGACAAGTCACTCGTTTCAAATCAGATTTTTTCGATCGCGATACGGCTATCGCGGTAATTTGTCATTGAACTTCGCGGACCTTGCCGATGGAGCGCGCGCCGCGCAACAAACAGTCTCTTCGTCGGACTTTCAGATTGAAAAAAAACGTTCGAAGCTGACTGGCTCTGATAATTAAATTTTCTTTCCGCGATAAACTTCGCCAACACGAAAAACTCTTGATAAGTGTGCGTCACGTGAAGAGCGCGGACTCTCTTTGTCTCTCTCTCTCTCTCTCTATCTCTCTTTTTGTGTTTTCGCTTATCCGGTCTTTTATTTCATTTGCGAACTCGATCACGAACGAAGATGTAGATCGGACCGATTTTATCGGTTTCTCTTCTTCTTTCTCTCTGTATGTCTGTTAGCGGATTTTCGATATTGCGTAGCCGGGCAGCGATCTCTTTTCCTCGCGTCACGGAAATTTTCCTTTCGACCCGCCGGATCGCCGTGTCGGATTCGGAAGCGCGCGCGAGCCTTGAAATCGGTCTCGCTCGCGAAGCTCACGTATCGCCGAGCGTGAAAGTTTGACTGTGCCAAGCAACCAGCTTTAATGATCAGCTGAGCTCTAGAGAGAGAGTTTTGCCTCCCACCAAGGCGTTCCTCATCGTCGGTCGCGCACCTGAAGATGTTCGGTGTCTCTCAGGACGCGTCTACCTCCACTCGGAAAAGTGGATATTTTTTCGACAAACACACACGTCGCATTGACCGAGAAACTTCGCCTCACTTATATGTACCTACTTAAAAAAAAAAAAAAAACCGGCGTGTCATTGAATTCAATTTTTTCGCACATTTAAAATATTCTTTATTTGCCATTTATTTATATAATATTGTTTATTTGCCATCAATTTGAAGTCGTTTGAATTGCAATAGGATAAATTTTGCGCTCTGGCGTTGATTTAATAACATTTAATTAAACATATATATATATATATTTTATTTTGTATTAATTAATATTTTGTATTAATTAATTAATATATTATAATAATCCTCCCGTCTCTCTATCTCTCTCTCTCTCTCTGTAAATGATGTAACAGTTGTCAATGAGATGTTATTAATCTAATGACATTATCTGTGCGTACAGTCTGTTTAACGAAATTAATCCGCTGAGAGCGGGATTTGTTTTTTACAAAAGATTCTCCTCTTTCTCATCTTCATATCGCGCGAGATCTAGAAACGCACGGTTCATTTCGGTTTATTTGCAGGATCGCTTGACTTGTTGATTATCGGCGCGATACCGATCGCCGCGATTCGTACCTCTCTCTTTTCGCCGTTCGTCTGTGAGCCGCGCCGATTATACACGCGATTAACTAGGTAATTTACAGTCATCGCGAACGCCATCGCGTAACGAGTGCGGATTTTTTTTTTTTTTTTTTTAATCGTTTTCTCTTGCAAATATGTCAGGAGGGTACAATCACGGTTCGGCGATAGGATGCAATTAACAGTACGATCGTGTCGATGTAGTTTAAATGTCCGCGCGCTGCTCTGCAATTGAATGCGATTTATTGCGAACGCTGAATGTGCGCGCGTTTCTGACGATGCTACGACTCTATTGATTTCGCGTAATTTCCAATCCTGGAACAGCCCGTGTAAGTGTGATTGCGACCACTTTTTTTCTTTTTTTTTTTTTTTTTGCGCGCGCGCGCGTAATGTCCTTCTCTTTATTACTTCCTCTCGCGCATTTGAAAATAGTACAAAATTATATGACAATTTTGCGTTATATAAATCCGTGATGCGTTTGCGATTTCGTCATACTGAAATCTCTTTGAAATGTCTCTTCTGTCGTCTCGGTTGGTCATCGGCAAATTATGACGGCGATGGTGGTTGTACGCGCGAAATTGTGACGGCGATTCGTGACGCGAACGGGAGCACAAATGATTACCTACTCGAAGCTCCGGCAATTAGGACAGATTTCACTGGTGCGACTGTAACGTACATGTTATCATTCGCATCTTGCGCGAAAGAAATTTGCGGGAGAAAGAGGTGAGGTATACATTTTTATTGCTGTAGGTCGGAGCTGAACGCTGTTGTTTCGCGAGCGCGGGTAAAATCAACATTTCCAAAAGTGAGAAACAGACACTTCTCTCACACCACTTACTTCTTTCCGAGTTTATTAACGTTAATATTTACAATTGCATGATATTAATGTTATTTTTAGGTTTTACAACATTGATTTTTTTAATATTAATTAGTTATTAATTATTTCAAATAATATATATATTTCAATATCCTATATAAAAAAATCCATGTGTACCGTGAAGTACGTGTTTTCATATTGAATATATCGCATCTACTGTTGCCTCTTGGTTGGTTGGTTGATCGAGTCGAGTCGAGATCGAATCAAATCAGTAAAATCGAGACAGTAAATATTAACAAAAAAGCGATTTTGACAGTTCGTCGTATATGTAGAGAAAATTAAAAACGTGACTAAAGTAAAGTCACGTGACAAGAAAGAATAGAAAAACAACACGTGACTAAAGTAACGTGACTGTGTAATTTATATTATATACATATAACATTAAATAATATATATTATACATATAATTTATTAGTTATTATTTATATTTGCACTATTATATTTTATATTTTATTGCATTATATGTATTACATATATACTACAGTAAAGTCACTGACCTCAGTCGCGTGACCGCGGCGGGGTCACTGACCTCGGTCGCGCGACCTTGGGGGGCGGTCACTGACCCGGCCGCGCGGTCTTGGCGGGGTCACTGACCTCGGCCGGGTGACCGCGGCGGGGTTTCTGACTTTGGTTACGTGATTATTGTATATATATACCCTAATAGGCAAATTGTGAAAATATTGCACAAAAATGGCGTGTTGTTTTTCTTTCATTCTCTCCTTTTTTTTTATTTTTTTAGTTTGATTTTCATGCGTTATTTTTGACATCTCTCATATGTGTATTATATGATTTGTAAGACGCATATACTAGTTGTCATCACGGTGACAGATTGTATCCACTGACTCAACACGTTAAAATAAAAATAACAATAGCGTGCGCGTAGCGCGCGTTTGTGTTGTGTTAGTATTAATATAACTTAATAGGTACATATTGATATATGTATTAATTAATTAATGAAAATTAATTAATATATATTCTAACAGAGTTATTAATATTACTACGTTTCATAATATTATTAATTCTTATTTTTTCATCTGTTTCTCATTTGTATTCGCATTATTGTAATTAGAGGCAATCATGGAAAGTACAATATTAGCAATGTTGCGGTATATTTTCCACGTGGCGCGATCAACTGAATTCGCGGGATTTGAATTAAAGGGATCAAGCATGTACATAGAGGTATACACGGAAACTGTATATGCAAATCCGCTTGTGAACATTATGTACACGCGGTGTGTTGAATCAGCAAGAGAGGAACAACAATGCGAGATAACGCATTATTATATATATACATACCGTTCCGAGCCTTTCATTGATTAAGGTCGCGGTGTGTGCGTATATTATTTCTCTTTTGTTACTCGGAATAACTTTGCGCGCACAGATAGTTTATACTACGCATCGATAATGCGCGCGTTACATCCGGTGTGTCCAAACGATTTCGCGGTTAAAGTACCGCTTTAGATTGCAAACGCGCGCACGGAGAATATTACGTGTGCTCCCCGTCAATCAATTTTCATCCTCGGCTATATCCGCGCGCGCGCGCAGCATAATTAGTGGATTGCTGCAAGTTTGACGCATCGTTGCGTGAATCCGACGCGGGTTACACACGAAAATGTACGGAATTGCGTGCGCAAATAATCTTGTTGGAAACTTCGCTTCCACTGCATCACGTCGGATCGTTAGCTATTTTACGGCGCTTTCCCGCGCGGCGTTTAGCGGGAGTATTTATTCGCGAGACGAGTTTAGCGACCGCGGAATCTCCGGCGTACAAACCACGCTGTTGTTTAGCGCGGTAGCGAGACGCGACGTTTTCACGAATCGTTGAATTGTCAAATTGCCGCGCGGCTTAATTCGCGGGAGTTCTCGCGAAAAACGTACGCACACAACGTACCGTTCGCGCGCCGCCGACTCGAGCCAAGCTTCGTTTTCAACTTTTTTATTTTTTTCCATGACATTCGTACGTACGGAGATGTAACCACGTCAAATTCCGGAGATCGTTAACAATTCAGAAAGTCGACGATACGTGAGACACCGGTATCTGACGTGTTTCTTCTGCGCGCGCGCACGCTTGTACTCTTTCGAGATAAATTATTAGTCGCTGGCAGGCGAATGGTTGCACAGTTGAGGCGAGGTTTAAATAAGGAAAAAGCGACATCGTGCTCGGTACGCGCAGCGGCAAAGTTACTTCGCATAAAATATCAGGTGAAAGAAATAGATAAGATCAACGATTTTATTCGCAACTTTGGGTGGTATTTAATTTCCGTTCAGAGAAACGCGACGAAATGCCTTCTTGAAAGTTGCGAGGTTTTTACTGGAAAAATTGAATGACATCACGAACAGGTTTATTTCTATTATCGTATTTACGTGTGCGTTACGTGACACACATCGCACATGTGTACATAAAAAACTTGAAATATATCCGCATAAATATATTAAACACAATATCAGAGTTTTCGTATCTTTGTGTTTTTTTTTAGAGTAGCTCTAATCTTGCAGACGGGTTTTTTGGGTATTCCCGGTTTTTAAATATTAATAAATTCCGACATTTTTTAAATGTCTGGCGCGAATTTTTTGTTTGATTAAAACGTTGCAAGAAATCTGTAAAAATTCACGAGGCTTTATTCAACATTCAACATTATCGAAATAACCTTGGTTTCGATATTTTTTTGCTCATTTTTCAGAAATTCTCTCACTAAATAATTGACATTTCATTTTCAAAAAAAAAAAAAAAAAAAAAATTTCTCGAACACCAAGTTAAGTTAATTTTTATCTTATATTGGGATTTGCTGTAACTTTGGTGTTTTTCCTGCGTTTATATTCGAAATGCATTTATTTATAGGATGCATTAAATTTACAAATAGTAGAGCGATATAATATATTGCAATTTTACAAATTGTACGCCAGTGGACAAGTGATTAATATAGCAATTTATAATTTATTATTATAGTAATTTGAAGGCATTACTTCGCATTGATTAGCTCATAAAATTAATTTCTTCGTGACGTTGTACGGTTTTCGCCGCAAAGAGACGTTTTGCAGTCATTCTCATTCTTCTCTCAATTAAATCTGCATGTTTATACGCGGCGCGCTTGTCACTGCTGCATAAAATTTGCATCGTTATATTCGGCATTCCCGTTGCCGCGTTCTAAAATTGCATGTTCTCTGATTTATGTAGAAACACTTGATTAACTGTGTGTGCAACTCCGGAGTAAGTGCCTGTCAAACATTTTGTTTTTATTTTTTTTTGCGGTTACATCTTACATTCCGACAGACCAAAAACCGCAAAAAAACAAAACCAAAATACAATCAAAATTTCTCACATTATAAAGAAATAAAAATTTACATTTATATTAAAATGTTTTCTTTTTCCGGCAAC